GAGTTTCATGCACAGCACAATCTTCAGGTGCTGAGTATGGACTGACCGTTCTGTCAGTTAAGTACCGCACGTGATACCCACTTGGCCAATTGTGTATCTTTCGACTGACGAGACAGAAGATTTTTCCCATAGTAGATTGCCAACAAACACTAAGTAATCCAGTCTGTCCTGCTATTCAAACCATATCTGGGGTGAGGGAGAAGTGATGTATTCATACCTTTTCCAAGGGTATTTGTGCATAAATGAATATAATAAACTCGAGTGGAATTCGAACTCCGAGTTTCTCAATCCTAGCGGATATCCATTATATCACAACGCACAAAAGAACTGACCGTTACGTAATTTGAATTAAAAAAAATATATTTGGTTAATCACAATGCTGGCGCAGTTATATATTATAGTGGGATTATAATTTTTAATTTAAAAAAATGTATTTACCAATTAAAATAAACGGCATTTGTATATGTATATCAATATGTAAATAAATATATATATGTATATAAAAAACATTAACATTTTTTTTTTTTTTTTGAGTTGTGAATATTCATTTTTTAACTAAAGGGGGATTACTTGTTCTCATTTCAAGAAAAATAATTTTTATTAAAAACAAACAATAATTTACATTTAAAATTAACCTGGATCAACTTATGTAAGCAAATATTTATTTTTCTGCCCACATGTAACTATCAGTTCATTTCTCTTTATTAATAATCTCTGGTTATTTAAGTGTTTTAGGATAACCAGTTTTTCGACATGACATAAGTTACATTTATTTCCTTTTCCATTAAAACATTTGGCTCTTGCAATAATATCCCAGGTGATAAAATCGGTATTATCAGAATTCTTTACTTGCTAGCAGTATATAGAGAGAGCAGTGCTGTTTCTGTATTTTATATTACCTAAATACATTCAATAATGGTAGAAACGAAATTTCCAAAGAGTTTCAGTGGAACCAAAATAAAATTTAAGATCGCTATCGGAAGGTATGCTGGCTTGGTATAGAATATTATCGATCATACATTGACCGTTTAATGGACAGTTCATATTTTGTCGACAGTTACATTTATTTGGAGTTAGTGGATGATCTAACGTGGACTGATTATGCAGAATTTTGTGGTGGGGTTTGAATCTTTACTAACGTATCTATAGATCTTTTGTATATGGTAAACTGGTCGTCTATTTGTTTCCGAGTAAACCCGTATATTTGAGCAGTTAACTAATGCTCCAGCACAGTTCTGTGTGTTCGACATCAACAAATCCCACCTGTTTTTTAGACTATAACACCGCCTATATTATAACTATAATACTAGCGCCGGTCAACTGATGGTTATCTGTTGACCGCTTCGTTTCTTCATCAACTCTGTACCACGTTTTTACTTGATTAATCACAATGCAGTGAAGACTGAATTTTAACCCAGACTTAAGCCCTCAATCGAGTTAACGGAACCGTACTTTGAAAACCAAAGGACAAAGATACTTCAGCTGGTAAAAACACAAATTATAATAAATCACGAAGAAAATCGTTGGGTTAATTTTCAATTCGTTTTATATAATTGTCGATACACAGATTTAACCGTTCCCCTGAAATCTAGTGACAAGGAATCTTGTTTCTAAACTTGAAGCGGGCTAGCCATCACAACGAGGACTTATACCGGTGAGGAATTTCAGTCCTCAAATCTCCCCGTCAGCAATTCTCTTCTCTGATCGACGTCAGTAATACTATTCTACAGCAGGTCACGTGGCTTCTTACCAGCGTCTTCCTCTGGTTGCTTCTGGCTCAACTGCTACTACTCCAACTCTATCCGGGGGGTTTTGCATGAACCCTTTTTAATCCTGTGTCACATTACTTTCAACTACGACCAGTGACACTTCAATAATGTGTCAACACTACAACTACTTCAACTCGACTGAGAATACGAGTGGACAGCTATTATTATTATAATATATATATATATATATATATATATATATATATATATATATATATATATATATATTAAATTCATATTAATCTGTATCTCACTCTGTTAAACCGTTATTTAACTCCTTTTCTTTAAAACTTCTCTCTGTTAAATTTGAATCCCCACCTTCACCTTTAGGCTTTTCCTTTTCTTCTTTCTTCGGTTACACCCTCTCTCTAGAGCTTTCCCTCTCACACTTGTTTTCCACTCCCACACATACACTTTCATTAAATTTTATTTTTTATACCCGGAGATATATTTTCCGATTTCTTTTTTGAATCTGTAGGTCTGATGAATTGGAGCATGATTACGATTCAATGTAATTAATTACAACCATGGAATATTAGTGGTTGAGCCTTTTTTTTTTTTTTATATATATATATATATATATATATATATATATATATATATATATATATATATATATATATATATATATAGTGTTCATATCTAGCAAGCTATCTAAGGCTGATCATATCTATCTGTCCATTATCTATCTTATTAATACAGCGTATGATACCTGCCAAATAATTGTCCATTATATGCATGAATATATATATGTATGTATGTATGTATGTATATGTTTGCTCATATCTACCTAGCTATGCTAGGCTGATCATACCTATCTGTCCATTATCTATCTTATTAAAACAGCGTATGATACCTGCCAAATAATTGTCCATTATATATATATATATATATATATATATATATATATGTGTGTGTGTGTGTGTGTGTGTGTGTGTGTGTGTGTGTGTGTGTGTGTGTGTGTATGTGTGTGGGTGTGCTTGCGTGTGAGTGTGTGCTGTTTTCCTTATTTTCTGGTAAACTTAGTCTTTATTTCTTTTATTTTTTATGATTTTTTTAACAATTTTCATTTATTTTTATTTTCCTGTATTTAATGACCACTTAGACAAAACTTGATTTTTAATGTCCAAAGCGAAACGATAATTGCACAAAAAATGATAAATAAAAAATAAAATTAAATAAAAAGTCTCAATTCTTTTCTTCAAAAACTGACATCCGAAATTTAGCACCTGTTTGTTGAAATTAAATTTAAATGAAAAAATAATAAATAAATGATCGGAAAAAATGAAAGAAAAAGGAAATGAGAGATGAAATGAAATGAAGATGAAAAACAAGAAAGAAGGAAAGAAAAAAGGAAAATAAATGTGAAAGGAAAAGGAAAAACTAAAAGAAGAAGCAATAAAGAAAAAGAGAAAGCGAACGAATGACGAAGAAAGGGAAAAAATAAAGTAAGCTTGATTGAAATAAAACAGATGAGAAAATGAAAAGAAAGAAAGCAAATCCGAAATAAAGGGAGAATCAAGGAAAGAGAAAGAGAAAATTAAAAAAAACAAAAAACAAAGGGAAAATCGAAGAAAAAGAAATCAAGAAAGAAAAAGAGAACGAAAGAAATCGCCCCCACACACAAAAGAAAAGAAATTCAAAGAAAAACATGAGAAAAAAGAGAAAGAAAGAAAGCAACAGAAAGAAAGCAAACGCTAAAGAAAAAGGAAACAAAGACAAAAAATAAGGAAGAAAGAAAAAATGAATGAAAGAATGAAGGAACGAAAGAAGGATGAAAAGGAAGAAAGAAAGAAAGAAAGAAAGAAAGAAGGGGCGAAATAAAGAAGGAAAGAATAAAGGAGACTGAGAAAGAAAGAAAGAAAGAAAGAAAGAAAGAAAGAAAGAAAGAAGGAAGAAAACTGAGAAAGAAAGAAAGAAAGAAAGAAAGAAAGAAAGAAAGAAAGAAAGAAAGAAAGAAACTGAGAAAGAAAGAAAGAAAGAAAGAAAGAAAGAAAGAAAGAAAATAAATAGATGGAAAATTACATACCCCCCAAAAACAAATAAGACCGAAGAAACAACGAATGCCTAACATAACCAAACGAAAACATTCTTCACGATCTTAGAGATGAATATCGCCATTTCCCTCAGTTGCCATGACACGTACCCGAGATGTCAACCTGACGACCTTCATTAGGATCAATTGCTTCCTGTCCTACGTAATTTCGAGCAGATATGAACCCCGCCAAATAAGGCATTTCTCCCTTACAAATGATTTGAAGGATTCGACATGGAGATCGTCATTCAAACATGACAACTTTTTAGTCGATAATTCATTAACGTTAACCCTAGAAGGAAAATGATTAAACAAAATACTTATTTGTTTCACTCTTTTCATCTCAATCAAGGCGATAAAGTCGCTAAGACGCAAGGGGGTCACTGAGTGTGAAAGAAAACGAGAAAACCTTACATCAAGAAAGAGGACAATGAAAGAATAAAATTCAAGGAGAGGGATGATGACAATTGGCGTTGCATTTAATTTTTTTTAAAATTGCAGTTGACAGGAAAGGAATACTTCGCCAAGTGAGAGAGAAGAAACTGTTAGCATAGAACTTACGGTTACATTTAAACTTTTCAACAACGAAATTTTGAAACCTACCTGCCAATCTAGTACTGCGATTAAATTCATGACGTCGAGGTACCAAAGCCAATTCCCACGAAAATCTTTAAAGAAAAAGACCAGGAAATCTACGTTACTATAGTGGGAAAGTGACTGAAGCCGAGATGCCAGGTCAAAACCGGAAATATAGCCTTAAGCAAAAGCATGTTCTATATTTGGGGTGCATTAAAATGATAGTTTCAGTTGCAACATTCGTAACCTCCGGATACAAAAGGTTATCTTGAGATAATAACATGTCACATACATCCCCCCCTTTTTAACACGCGAAAAGTACATTATTAAAAAAATGATCAATTCTTAATGGTAAAAATAATAGATAAAAAGGTGATAATTAAAAATGCTTCTCTCTTCGAGGGCTGAAAACCTTTATGGGTGATAAACTGAGGCCCTTATCTTTTTTCCTGTTTAGGGATCGATATCATGAGATATTAATCACCTATCATTAATTCCCTTTAATTGGGGAGGTAACAGAAAATAGTAGCCTGAAGCCCTGTCTGGTCGAGTGGCTGAGAATTACATGTCTTCTCACTTAATGTTCTCGAGTACTTTTTGTCAGTATCACGCGGTGGAAAATGGGACGTCGCAGGAAAGATCTGCATTCACCTTCGTCTCCCGTTTGCAGACCGCGGGGTCACTTTCCTTCACGACCACAACCAGTCACTGATTGCAATATGATGGCGGTAATGTCATTTCGTTCTCGTAAGAAAACTTTAGCGTTTCGACTGCGCTTCGTCTCCTTTCAATCGAATTTAACCAATTACACCGCCTCCTTCGGTTCGGTTGAGCTGACCCGCTGAACTTAAACATATTGCTACGCAAAGGAAAAGAAACTAACCGAGATTCCCGTCGGTATCTGCCTATATTTCTGAGATGAGGTATTATATACACTATTTACATTATTCGGGCTATTGTCCTCATCTTTGTTGCCATATTTATTACAACGTTTCGGCCTTTCAGTATCTGTCTATATTTCTGAGATGAGGTATTATGTACACTATTTACATTATTCAGGCTATTGTCCTCATCTTTGTTGCTATATTTATTACAACGTTTCGGCCTTTCAGTATCTGTCTATATTTCTGAGATGAGGTATTATGTACACTATTTACATTATTCAGGCTATTGTCCTCATCTTTGTTGCTATATTTATTACAACGTTCCGGCCTTTCAGTATCTGTCTATATTTCTGAGATGAGGTATTATGTACACTATTTACATTATTCGGACTATTGTCCTCATCTTTGTCGCCATATTTATTACAACGTTTCGGCCTTTAAGTATCTGTCTATATTTCTGAGATGAGGTATTATGTACACTATTTACATTATTCGGACTATTGTCCTCATCTTTGTCGCCATATTTATTACAACGTTTTGGTCTTTCAGTATCTGCCTATATTTCTGAGATGAGGTATTATGTACACTATTTACATTATTCGGGCTATTGTCCTCATCTTTGTCGCCATATTTATTACAACCTTTCAGCCGTTGTACGCTCCAGCCTTCTTCAGCTGGTTCAGGAAAACATGGCATAATGGATAAAGTCGTTAGTTAGATCCAGTGACAGGACCGAAATTGTGGGAGTTCAATACCCGGTTAAGGCAGTGGAGAACTTTCAGAGGGAAATTAACAGGAGATAACTGATAACTGACATCCATTAAACATGGCACGTGGAACTAGAACAGTCTACCCCTGTGAGCGAAATAAAGGGTTCAGTTCGACATTCCAACCACCTGAAGGAGGCCGGGGCGTACAACGGCTGAAACGTTGTAATAAATATGGCGACAAAGATGAGGACAATATTCCGAATAATTTAAATAATGTACGAGATTCCCTTAGTAACAACAAGTGAACCGGGAGAAACCCAACGCTGATTCCTGTCGTAAATAGCCCATTAATAATTAAGGTTTAAAAAGTGAAAGCAAATGTTACCTCCCAAAACTTTATTGCACTAAAACCAACATTATTGAAAGCAAATTCAAGCCAACATAAATTTAATATTCATTCATTCATTAACGGCCAGAAGCCTTGACGGAATCTATCTGAATTTCAAGCGAAACAAATTTTCTGAATATTTATTATTCGCCTGTTAATTTTACATAAATTCGCCAATCACGAATGAGTCTTAGTTTTGCTCAAGATTGAAAGGACATTTTCACCGTTATCCTTCGAGAAGGCTCCAAGATTCTTGGTGATATTGGGCTCTTGTGAATGATGTGCCATCTGACAAATTCATCTGTTCGGAAAAAAAAAACGATTAAGTTTTTATAGCCTCAGCCTGATCCGATTCTTTACCCTTCAGTCAGTTATCAACCTCCACTAAATGTCAAATGACTACCGGCGTGATGTGCCTTACTCGGATCGAAAATCCTAAAAGTCATCGACGCCATTATAAACTCCATTAATGTCTATCAAGAGCACACTCCTTTCGACGTATTGATTTCAATCCCTACAATGTCTCGACAAACGTACCAATATTTAGTTCTCCATAAATATCGTATGTTTTAAATCACAAAATCATTTCAATCAGAAAATATTAAAAAATCTAATATTTGGAAGTCAGTGGCAAGAAATTTTCATTCCCTCCTTGTTAAAATTTGTATTACTCCAGTTAAACATACGAAAACGATAAAATTAATTATTTATTACAAAAATATTCAAACAGCCAACCTTGTCATTAGTAGCAACAACTCTTCAGCGAAATGCAAACTATACTAGACTAACTTTATTTATTAACTTAAGTGCTTCATATGGAACAAGGTTCTCGACGAAAACGAAATAATGAATAGTTATATCAGCCTTGCCTCCACTCATTTGCAAAGAAGGCAGATATTACATTAGTGGGTGCATATCTCCATAAGTGCACAATGTTGGAATTTTGGGGTACCCTGGTGTACTAGTGAGCCAGCCAAAATGAGCTGACTCATTTTATAGTTCACCAATAGAAGTGTTAACCAATCAGAAGGCTCAAAATATTCAATGCGACGTGTATAAAGGCGGCCATGTTTTTCCCGAATATGCATAGCCAGCCTTTGATAACCCGGACGAGGCTCCGCCGAAGGGTAGAGTCTCGTTCGGAGAGGTTGACTGTCCCTGAACCCGTTTATACGCGTACGAATAGGCAATATTTTTGGCCGAGCCTCCGGGCTCGGAGATCCCACGTTAATCTCGGCCTTGTGCTACATGTAACCCTCGTAGGGGAGTGGTCAAATATCACTGCCAGCCTTTGATAGACTGAAGAATTACGGAACAGCTGCTGGTGGTATTGGCGATATAGTCAGATTCAATAGAGTGTCTGACTCGTGAGTGTTAATCTTTAATGTTGTTTCATTGAACAGATTACGTACTGCGCTGTATTCTATATTCATAGACTATGGTGAACATGGTCAACACACAATGAAACCAAAATTAAAACATACCAACATCGATAAACAAACTCGTAGTAAACACAAATATAATACACACTTCTAACTGTATAAAAAACCGTCTAAAAATAATAGAAGCCCTTAACATTAAGTATGAACACGGCCATAGGGAAATGGCCGTGTTCTGGAATTAAAATAAATCTAACTCTCGGCAATCATTTGCAATTAGAATCCTTGAAAATAATTAATTAACCGATAATACTCGAAACGAAAATCATTTGGACAATTTCTATATACACAAGTTTAAAAAAAAAGAAATTTCTCTTTGCACACAAGCAAAACACACAAAATATTAACACAAATAGCGATTGTCTGTCATTTTTAAAGAAATATAAATTTGGGGGTGATTGGTGTTCAGCTACACACATAGGTTTATTCGTTATTAAGGACACGTACATTTAAATGGAAATATCAAAATTTATTTACAATATGAACTAGACTCAAAATATTAATAACACTTCTAGTAATTGCAAAAATAAAATTTGTCGTTAAAGCTTATTTCAAATATATTTTCCAACCCTTTTGTCCGAACCATCAAAAACAGGCCAAGAGCCACTCAATGTAGAGGCTTACAGAATAAGGTTGTTTTGAGAAGTTACAGTTTTGAGAATATGCGTGAAAGATAACGGTGAACCGATCGCTTGAAGACGTTGCGATTGTAGTGATTGGAAAAGCACCTCCGCTCCTCGAGAGTCGGTCCCCAAAAGTAGGGGGGTCGTATGAAGAAGTTGTCATGATAGAACATGGTTAACTAGATTGTTGTATTTTATAAAACAACAACTCATCTTTGTAAATCATTAAAATAAAGAAAAATATTGCAAAGAAAGAGAAGATAAAATAATGTATTGTTTCGTGTCATACCTGACTTCAGTCCAGACCCCAGCGCTTTCATGATTGACTGCATCAACGAAGGATAATGTTTTTTTGTTTGTTTGTTTTTGTTTTGTTTTTTTTTGTTGTTTTTTTTTTGTTTTTTTTTTCTTAACATGCTTTATTATATGATAGACACTACTGTCTTTTGTATAATAAAGCAAAGTTTGTAGGAAGAAGAAAGAGAAAGAGGGAATTCATCGAAAGGAGGCATGTAAGCCTGTTGGTCTAAATTTCATCACCACGTGCTGCCTTGCCTCTCTAAGCAATCTGGGTGCGACGAGACATCATGAGATTTCTAATTCAAGTTTCACGCATTTTTGGTCTTACATCGAAATTAAAAAAAAAAAAAAAAAAAGCGATTCATCATTCTCTGAATTCCACGCCAACCGGGTTTAAACCACCCCAAAGTAGTTTACCATTCTGCGTCAGCATCGCATTCTGGAACAATAAATAAAACTATATGGGTTATTAACCTTTATCTGTCTAATTAATAATATACTCTGTACGAAGAATAACACGG